GTCGTCTCTATCTCGCTGCAGGACGTCCTATATTTCCGTTTCTCTTTCATTCAATTGGATGCATTTTAGGAACAAGAAATTAACTTTCGACGAATGGCATCATGTCTCAGTAAAATATAGTATCTAATTTACGATATCACTGAATTTTAAGGAGACACATTATCGAAATAAAAACGAAAATAAGTATTGTGACAGTAAACGATAAATTGTATTTTCGGTGCAGGATTTTAAAAGTCCATACAGTAAACATATAACCTTGTAAATGCTCTAGTTTATAATTTAGTACCAGTATCATAAACATTATAATAAAATCCTTACTTTTATTTAAAGGTTTCCTTTAAAGTGACAACCAGAATCGAAATTTATAGTCGTACTTTTATAGCAGTGCACCATAGGAATTATGTTAACAATTTACAGACTTGTAACATGGAATGCTGTAAGTAAATGTCTCGACGACAAACGCTACAGCTTCTCAATATCTAACATTCTTAAATCAAATTTCACGTCATACAAAGAATTCAATTGATATTCATTCCGGGACCGAGGCCCGTTTCCCACGGGGAGAGAAAACCTCAGATGAATACGACTGACAGTACAATGCTGTACCATAAAGCGTTATTGCTTACTGTACCGGCAAAAACCGCTCGATCTAACGATTTAAGTCACTCGCAAAAACCAACGCCTCAAGTCTATCGAAGAAGACAATGAAAATTGTAACTGATTCACTGCGCTAGTAAATAATTAAAGAACGTAATACTTTATGGTTTTATAATTGTGAGAAGTTAGAGAATGTGCAAGACATATGAGTGGTTAACAACTTTTTCACTGCCTCTGCCAATGTAAACTTATCTGTCTGTGCATGTAAAAAGGTATAATATAAAAAATATATTCACTTGTAGATGCGTTTTTTGTTGTTAAATAGAAAAAATAAAAACCACGGAAATGACATTGAGCTATAAACGAACAAACGACGAGCCGCCTCGATCAATGACTTAACACTTCTCGGACGAGAATAGACAACTGTGAATTTAATCGAAACCTTGTATATATTTACTGCTAAGTATGTACCATCTTAAATATAATTATTTATTGTTTTGTCCATAATTAAGTTATATATGTGTATATACAAACATATAATCCACTTTTACTTTTAGTAACACCAGTTATTAAAGTATTTTTAACCGACTTCAAAAAAAGGAGGAGGTTCTCAATTCGTCTGTATGTTTTTTTTTGTATGTATGTTACGCGATAACTGCGCCGTTTGTGAACCAATTTTGATGATTCTTTTTTTATTGGAAAGAAGGTACCTCAGATGTGGTCCCATTTAAATTTCAAGAAAACATTCCACCTCTAAGGGTGGCAAACTAGGGGATGAATGACTTTTGAGGTCGGTTTTTTTAACCGGAGGTTAGGTTATCTTTCATAATGTTTAAATATATATAAGAGCAAAATGTATACCTATTAATTTTATAGAAGAGCGGTGTTTCCTGACACAGGCCCTATCAAGCCTCAAAGGAAACATGAGCTCCTGAACCATGAACTATGCTATGTAAAATTAACAAATAAAATTTTATTTTATTTATTATTATATTTTTTTAAGTTACCTGATGTTGTTGACGATGCAACGAAATAAGACGTTGTCAACGATATGTTACAGTAGAAAATAGGAGGCTAAACTCTGAACAAACAACTGTCAAAGTGACATCTATAGATCATAAAACTTTTTTCCACATTCGTTTATTAACAGGTTCTATCTACTCTATTCTGATTTGACTAATAATTGTAATGGAAAAAATGCCCTTTTGGGTTGAACAATTTACAAAACTTTTTAGAATCATTTTGTGTCATAAAATATTTTCAATAAAAAAATTACAAGGAAATGAAAAGGGTCACGGCCCATAGAAAATTACGCAAAATAAACATCTTAGAATATTCTTTATATTGAGAGCATAAACTATGTTTTATTTTCGATATTAGTGGCTAACATGTCAAATACTGACTTTTGTTTTTACTCAGGCAAACTACATGTTATGTTAAATGTGGTGTTTGAAATAAAAAGTATGATTTGACAATATTTTGTTAAAAACAATATAAAACATCTAACATTAATTTGTAGCCCTTTTCACTGTTCCACTATTCGTGGTATATTTTTTGTAATGGCATCACCTTTGTTTATTTTGTTTATTTTTTGACTTTAATTTGATCTCAGAGTTAGACTTGTGCCTGATCGGTCCATAGCGGGAGCGAACCTAGTTAGTTCAATCGGTCAACTGAACTAGGTCGGTCTTCTAGTTCATTTAGTTCATCTAGTTCCTTAGTTAGTTAGTTCGTCTTGTCCTTACTCGGACATTGAACGAACGCTCCAAACTAGTAATTTTATTCACATGAACTACTACGGACTTCTAGTATTATGAGGTCAATACTACACTGTACTAAATATTTAAAAATACATTTTGTATTGAATCGGTACTATTTGATTTTCCTTAATATTTTACATGTTTAAAGACTGTCATTCTAAGTAAATATCCTTTTTTTACAAAATAAGAATATTAACTAGAATGGTGTGTTTAAAAATCAATATTTAGGTACGACTTTCATATACTTGTACACATAGGTTGATATTATACATTCAGATACCTACCAAAAAATATTACTTTTATGCAAGCTTGTATATAAGTGTTATACATAATGTAGATATGAGCTGGGAACGTTCAATCGTGCATCCCACTAGAACTTGTACTAAAAGTAGTGAAAGATCGCAATTTGTCCCGCTCGCACCGTTCCTACTGTATAAAAGACAGGTGAACTATCAACGCAGATAGTTCCTAGTTCGTACTGAACTAAAAAGAAAGATGAACTATTAAAACCGTGCAAGACGAACTAGTTCATGTCGGTCAGCGTAGAAATATATTCCTAAAAGTTCGTAGTTCACGAACTATACAAGCCTACTCAGAGTATAGAACAATAGCACGGAAGATCACGAAACGCATATAATTAGAATGGAAGGTAAGCTAGATGACGTTCAGCAATCTTGATATTCCACAGTTTTTGGCAAACTCAACCACTAGGTCCTGCCCACCAAGATTTAAGATGCCGAGAAATAAACGCTGGTCCATTGAAGCTCAAACATGTCGAAGCATACCGTCGCCACATCGCGCTCGAGACTAGCCTCTCTTCAGATCAATGGTAACGTTGAAAATTGGTTTATTACCAGTTACATTTATTGACGGGACGTAGAAATCGAGCGCTTGGTGATAAGCGACACGCCTGCCAGTCGCAGTGTCACTCAGAGCTTTTTATTTGAAGGGCACTGCCCGTCACCCCTAATCCCATGTGCCTGTTATTTCACCAGCACTCTTACCCTTCTAAACCGAGACGCAGTAATGCTGACATTACCTAAGCGCCAGAAATAGATAAGGTGGCAGTACTTCCCTGGACTAGCACTTGCACAGGAAGCTCTACAGCTGCTAAAATGGTAGTCTTGCTGAAGAAGTTAAAGAATCTCATTCGGATGCCTGATGAAAGATATCGAAGGCTGCCGAGATATTTTGGAGGTTGCCAGCTCGGTATCTCTAAGGTTACCGCGCACACAGTAGACTGTTCAGTTGTACAGAGAGCTAGGGTATATGCTATGTTCGGCATTAAACTTATACACTGTGTTCTGAATTCCAATGGTGATATGAGTAAAGCGACAAATCCAAAAGGTGGCCAAGAATCACTAACAAGAAATGCTATGTCTTGCAGCGAGATGGGTGAACGACAACGTCAAAATTTGGCGACACAAACTAAGGATAACAATCATCAGCGAATTTATTTCAAGTGACGTCGTGTTTAGAGTCGAACAATAAATTGTTTACGCAAACTTCATTGTGCGTGTGTGTGTAAAGAAAAAAACAAACAAGCTAAAAGACACCCTCCAATTCTAGGGAATAAATAGACATTAAAAAGTCAAAGTATCACTTTTTCCACAGGAAAAATAAATTTACACTTAAAAACGTCATTTTTTAAGATAGTGCACATGTTCACAGTGTGCTAACTTCCCGTTGCAGAATGGTTACTCTTTCTAAGGGTTGCTCTTTTCAAATAAACTTAAATACATTATCAATCAAATTTGTGTGGAATGTAGACCCATATCGTCTTTCCATACATCTTTATAATACGTAGTCTTCAATTTTGTTATACGATTTTTCAATTAAAATACTTCTAATGTAAGTTTTAAACTTAGGAGGCACCTTATTGTAAAAACGTATAGTACAGTTCTCCTTTGAAAGAATCGTTTACCTTAGTTAAACGAAATTGTGATATCTATATATATGTATCTAAGGGTAATAATATGGATGTTTTTTTTCTTAACGGTATATGTATATTCTATACGAAATATACATATATATACAGGTACCTTAAATAGAGAATTTAGCGACTCGATCGATTAGTACAAAAGAAAGACGAATAGGTAAGTGCTTGAACAGCTGACTGATATTTTGAAACTTACTTGGGATAGATATCTTTCAACCACATTACTGACTTTTATACATACATCTCAACATCAGTTCCTGGGCTTTTCGTATGTAAGAGAAACATTAGCTGGCTTTGCAATTGTTACATTTGTGAAATACGTGATTAACTGTGTTACCTATACTATATGATAATAATATTTGATATCACAAGGTCATTAAACAAAAATACCGATAAAAAAAATCAGCACTACGTAAAACCGATCGTAATGTCCAGTAGTTGCCTAATGTGGCCCCTGGGTATAGTCGATTATTGATAAGCAGTTAAGTGAGTGATAACGGAATTAGATAATTCTTTCCTCTTTGGAAGAATAAGTTTTATTTGGCTTTGATTGGCCACAATTAGACTCCTGTGCAGGTACATGAAAATAGGACATTGTGGGGTCTACGTGGTGTGTAATCTGACCACCATCTTTAAAACAATACCTGAAGTAGATAGGGAGGGAATTCCAGGAACATAAATCGTTAATAAAGATTCAAACTTACCTCCTGGATGCAACAGCGTGCTAGGATGAACGCTGCCATCCTTGTGTAGCAGCACATGGCGTGGCTCTGTAACTGAGTAACAGGTGGCGCCGTTAAACAAGCACTGCTGGAAGCACCGCGCTGACTGGTAGAAGAGCGCCCAGGCGTGCTCCTCGCTAATAGTAGAGTTAAACGCCTTAAGAATTTGCTGCAGGTTAATGCAGTCGGCGGCGTCCAGTGCACAATCAGCGCCGCCGGCAGCTCCGCCTTCCTTCCGCATCATCCCGTCGCCACTATCCTGCTGGAGAGCAACCCATCACGAACACACAATTTTCCCTGATCGATCGTTTCACCAATTCCTCAATACCCAATATCTTTTCACACAACACTGAGAATTTTTCTTTCTTATTTCGCGAATTTTTGGTAAACTACATATTAAAAAACAGCATATTATTGTAACTCCCCCTAAACGTCACTGTCACTGGTATGCGTCCACTTTGAAAGCGGGTGGTTGCGATTTCGTTGTTGAAAAAGATGTTTTCGGTTCGTGCCGACGCGATCGCAAGCGCGCGTGCGCGGACGCGGTTATCGCGATAAAGTCACTCACAGACGTGCAAACGTTACGGCGACCCGGCCCGGACTGAGACAGGGAACCGGCGGTGGCGGTCGGGTCGCACGCGGCGGCGCTTGACCGCCGCTGCAGCCTCCGATGCTCCGGAACCACTTCCGACGTTAGCCTTCGTAACTTTTCGCATCTTTGAATCCGAATTTTACAGAAAATATCTTCTGGACACATACAGTAACAAACAGGCACAAAGATTTTTACTTTCTAGATATATTCAAACTTGTCGACTCTGAACCCCACATTAATCGGAAACCCGAAATATAAATATAGCCTCTGGCTACAATTAATTATTCTTCTATGGCATATAAACTTTAATATGTCAAACGTATCTAATATACGTTTTAGAACCATAGAATCATTGACCCGTCCTATCCAAATTCATTACAGACACATTTAATAGTAGTTAATTATAAAAAACCGTGATTGTTATTATTTTTCTTAAATGTCGTCGGCCTGATTTAATAAGAGTTAGGGTTGTTGCGAATATCAGCACCCGCATCCGAATCTGCATAAATAAAAACATCCGCATCAGCATTCATTGATGCTGATATTCATTGCCGGTGTTCGAGTCGTGACATGACCTAAAAGACACGCTGGAATAATTTACAAACCTTCCAGAAACAGACAAGCCAAAAAAGCAGCTCTGCTGCTCCACAACGAATACGCTAGGCAAAATTGTTTTCATGAAGATTGTTTCCTTTGTTAATGTCACAAAATCATTTATTTTATTACAATACTAAAGAAAATAAAAAGTTTTTTCATGTAGACAGATTCAGTAAAAATTTACATTTATCGCGATTTTTTTAACACCTAAAATCAGGATCCGTTGATGTTAAGGTCAAAAAATCGGCATCCGGCTGTGTAAAGAACTTGCATCAGCGACAACCCTGATACGAGTAAGTCACCGATGACAAACTTGCATCGTCAATATACAGCATCATACATCCATCATCAACCATTTTAACAAACTCTAATCACGATTTTAGTGGCGTACGTACTTGTTTACTAAATAGATAGTTTTTGATAACACGTTTAATCTCATCACTTCTCATAATCTTGAGTGTGAATACCGAAATTGAAACAATAACCCTCAGTCCACTTTCATTTATTAAGTATGTTATAAAATATCAGTACAATAATATTAAAAATTTATATTTAATATAACCTGGCTTCAAACTAAAATGGCAATGACAATATTAGTTCTCTACAACGTGCGCAATTTTTATTGGTTTGTGAAATTGTCAAACAATGGGTAATTAAAGAAGATACGCGGGCGCCGACACGATGGTTTCTAGTTTAATTTGTACTGGAATTCTATAGTTAAACTAACTAGTTTGCAATGAACTTGCACGGCATGGTTAGTATTAATGTTACACCTAGAAAAGTCTTTGTAAATAACATTTTAACTTGAAGCAGGGTACTATAATAATTAGGTACACATTTTATACGTACGCGGTGTATACTTATTGACACCACTATTACAATGCAATAATACTAAGTAAACTTGATTTCGCATATCAACACAAAGTATAATTGTTTAAAAATAATACTTACGATACGGCAAAGATTATATGATTAGAAAATGGAGCCAAGAGCTTTAATTGTAAGGTTTATTTGTTACTTTTGAACAGTTTTGTGACAGTTATAAATAATAAAAATGTGCCAGATAACCTCACCAATTGCCTAGTCTGAAACTAGGGAATGCCCTATACTATGACTACCAGAACAACGGAATTCACTCTGGGGTACTTCCCAGATCACCCAGACCAGAACCAATTAGGAAAATAAATATTTCCCAACTTGAATCGAATCTGGAACCTCCGCAACCAGCACTCAATGTAAACCATTATACCACAGAGGTAGTAAACAGTTGACAGAAAATAACGTGCTGACAACGCGCCGTTATATCATGCTAAATAGTCTGGTCGCCGAGATCCAGAGTGCTGGCATCTTTTACGGTAGTATTAGCAAATTATAAAGCAAACCTAGGGTATTAAATATGTATGTAGTATAAGTAATTAATTAGCACCTACGTATTTTTATAAACAAATAAAAAACGTGTTGGATACACGTTACTTCTTCTTGTTGCGACTAGGGGCTAGTACAATTTGCAATATAAAATTATGGAAAGTTTTAGACTGAAACTCATGGTTAGAAGCTATGAACTAGTAACACAGATCTTTGAAATTACGCAAAATGGCGAGAAATGTTCAAATAATAAGTTACCACACTTACTTAAAAGTAAACGTGACAAACTAAATTAAAGAAAAAACACGTGCGAAACTAATACAGTGGAAAAAATCAATGGGACATGAAGGGGAACTACCTTAATTGCTTAAGATAGCTAATTTTACGTAAAGGAAACAATCTTTTATTTTTCTTCATATAAATAATTGCATTCATATATTTTTGAAAATTTTTAGTGATATATCAAAAAAGTATTTTTTTACTTCGCCTCGTTTCAGTTAGCGGGTGGCAGATTTTTTTCCACCCTTATCGTATTTCGCATCAAATAGAATTTCGTAATATTTGATACCAGATGAGTGACATACACATATCGACCCCTCCTACGTAAAGTATCGTACGTCGAAATTGCCAAGTTTACAGGGGAGCGTTTTAAAGTTTTGAATTCACTGAAATGAATATAATTATAAAATAAATTGTGGTTGTTCATCTAACCGATATCCAGGATTTTATAATACTCTATGTGCGTAACGAGCTTTGCCGAATAAAACTGAGAAATGCTAGTCACGTGTTACGCACATTTCAGTGAATTCAAAACTTTAAAACCCTCCCCTGTAAACTTGGCAATTTCGACATACGATACTTTACGTAGGAGGGGTCGATATATCTGGTGCCACATATGTTATTTTTAAAAATCTATTTAGTCAATTTATTACTGGGCGTGCGGTAATTATCAGCTTTTAATTCCATTTTTGTGACATTTATTTATAATCCTTGCCGGTTTAAAGGGTAATCTAGCGGCGTTCCAGAAATCTTTAGCAGATAAGAGAAATGCTTTTGATTACGAACAATCTCGTAAAAATCGAGTTGTTTAAACAAGAACGATTAAAAACCTGCCAAAGATTTTATTAACACACACTACACAATTTGTTCGCTGTATACATGTATATTAAATAAAACAATATTTAAATTTCGTCTAATTATTGTAATAACCTACATTTTTATGAAATAAATATTTCTTCAGAAATCCTAAACTAATCCGTGTATTACAAAAGTCTAAAGTGCATTACTACTTAACTTGTGATTTTTAGCTATAGCAATTTCAGCCTTATCCCTATACAATATGGTCCGTGTGATAAAAATATAATAACCGTGAAAATGCATAATTTAACAGCAACAAAAAATTGAATTCACAGTCGTACATTTATAATCTATGATGAATAACTTGTAGTAAAAAAATCACAAAAAAAAATAAAGACAACATTACATACGTGGCTCTGATCCATAAACACCTAGACCCGAGACAATATAGAAAAGGTAGTTTTCTACATTGACCCGGCCGAGGATCGAACCCAGGGCATCGGAGATGAAAACCGGTGTGCAAGCCCCTCGACCATGGAGGTCGTCAAATTAATACAATTATGCCTGAAAATTTAATTTCCGGTAGGTAGTATAATAGAAGTAGTGTTTATTGCTGGTGTCAATTTGAAAATCCAAAGTACAATTGGAAGCGAAACTAGGTAACAATTGGGTGTAAACCCTGTTTAGTTATAACAACACTGGCTAATATCCAAAATGGCTAACTCAAAACAAAGCTAAACAGTTTACATTAACTCGCAGTACACAAAACTTAATACTATAAAGGTACAGACGTAATGAAGGAACATTCATAATGAATTCATATGATGATCGGGACAACTCGGGAGCCACAAAAAAACGTTCGTTGTCATCTGGATATGGGTACCCCCGTAATCAGAGTCAAATTCCCAACGCAATGTTATCGATTCTGTGGAGTTAGTAACACCGAATCCAGGTCAGTTGGTACAGGGTCACGAGCACATCAAGTTTGACACTAAAGGTTTAAATTTAACACTATGCCGCTTGCAATAAGAACGGTCCAAAATGTCAACTTTGATGTGCTCTTGACTGGACCAATACAATGCAGTTGTGCTTTGGTTTTTCTTTCGTGGCGTCTACAATATCAATTTTAGACCGACAGGCACCCGTTCATTTAGATTAACAGTAATAAGCTTCTAAAGTACGAAGGGAAATCAATCCACGATGTATAACTATTGTTATCTAATTATCCTTATTGTTGGTGCTATAAGGGTGCGTACAGATCTGGCAAATGCGCCGTGACGGTTTGCTAAAGGCCCGCGAGCTGCACACGAGCATCACAGTTTGTGATCTGTTCGCATGCCGTTCGCGCACCCCATGTATTAACATGTATTTAATTGCACGCATGCTAGAAGCGTTCGCGGCGCATTCTTCAGATCTGTACGCACCCTAAGACGAGTTAATTGTAAGTACTGAAGTTGTTGTCTTCTCTATCCATTTAAAAGCAATGAATCGCACCAATTTTTCACTTAATTATCTAATATACATCGATTTCAAATATCCTTAACGCAGTCCGATAGTCTATCGATCGTCGGTCCGTAGATTTTGAATTTATGATAAATATGGAGCGATTTATCTTTGAGACTCGATGAGAAGTCTGTACCGATAGCGTAATCGGATTCAGTGATTCGCATCACTTCTCGGAGTCAATATTACATATGTCTGTTGTTTATTCGTATTTTTGCGTTATTTAAAGCATACTGTCAGTCCTACACATCAAGCCTATGGGTCAACTACACCCATAAAGCTCTCAGCGCCCTACGTGTTTTGTATAATAATATATTCAAGATGCTGTTGCAGCTGCCACGTTTCTTGCTGTGCATCGGGAATGTTTGCAGCGAAAAAGAGTGGCTTCCTTGATGTGCAGAATGTTATTGCGTTCATGGTCCAGGTCTCGCATGAGCACTGGACTCAAATGCATATCAATAAGAAAGAAGTATAATTATTTGTAATACTAATCTTTTTTTTTTAAGTGTTCAGTTACTAACCCTTATGGATGGATGTCCGACATAAAAGCTTTGAATTTGAATTCAATTTTGATAAATACGACAAGTTATAGACAAGGCAATAGCGTTGGGAAATATCCGTGGTTCCCGAGTTTTCCCAAGTTTAATGTTTATTCACTACATATGCATCGTCAGGTTACATTTTTTTAGACTTTGTTATAATAAGTTTCACCATATTATACGTAAGCCCACACGCTGGTGTATATTGTATATGAACTGTACAAAAAATGGGATTATTTTGTACACTTCAGCGTGTGGTCTTTGTATTGAGTATCATTTTTGCATTCAACTTTATTCGCCTGTGAACAGAGTTTAGTTTCATACGTGTATCTGTTACTTATGCATATTGACATCATTACAGATTTTTATTGATAGAATCACGACCCCAGAGGAATACAAAACAAGTAATAATATTACACGGATTGCCTGGCACAATTTCCATTGCCACCCGTAGTCATAGCTCATTTTTTCTTCAAACTCCAAAGGGGATCAAGGAAGTTCAAAGGATCTTTCATATCACCACTTTTGAGACCGGGTGCCTGCTTCATCTCTTCAAAAGATTCCCTGGAGAACTTCATTTTCGGATTCTGATTCGTCGGATTGGACGAATGGGTGGGGGTAGTGGGAGACGGGATGGGTACGGGGGGAAGGACTGCGGCGCCGCTCGGATAGGTCACTGCCTCGCCATTGAACATTGTGGTACCTGAAAAGACAACGCATGTTAGTTTTATTCACGTACTTGAAGATGGTAATAATAATTTTAGTTCTTCTATATAAACTTGCTCATCAATGTAACGGCTGGAGTAACCTCGAAAACTATTACTAACTTTCCTTAAAAAAAGTACAAACAGTTTCAACAATGTTCGTTCTATTATTAATGGTTTGGTCGAGACGGTAAGAACGATGCCACACGAGCGCTGCCGTTGCGTTGCGTCAACGCAACGTTATGATTTCAATGACGCAAGCACTGTGGTGTCGCAACCAGAGAGGAAGTGGGTTAAAACTCAATCAACTCGACTGGGTTTTAACCAGGTTTTTACCCACAACGCCGGGTTTTAATCCAGTGCGTTTAAACGGCGAGTGCGACATTTGATATAATTCCATAATTATTACAAATTTCGATGTTAAAATATTTATTTACGAAATACAGGCATTTCCACACAATACTCACGTTCACGCGCAACCCTGTGAATTCTCACCACTAAGGATGCATATTACGATTCGGTTTTATGAAGATCGATTCAAGTGCATACGATCTAACGATTTTTTGTATCGATTTATTTCAATGCGATTTTCAAGCGAATCGATTCAATAGAAAGGCAAATAAAGTCCTCCAGACAAAGCAATAAGCATTTTATAATAATATCATTTGAACAAAACTTGATTTACAGAAAATATTTAGTTGTTAATAGTTTTTGCCCCGATTTAAACCAGGAATTAACAAAGCGCCAAATTAATAGTCGGTCACTTGCCTAGCACCCCTCCCCGCTTCGTCTCTTAGCCCCTTGTCCAATGGGCACGCGTTCCATCGCCTCGCGTTCGTTTCGACGCACCATGTCGCATGTAGTCCTAATTTATATGTAGTACAACACTGCGTCATTAATAATAATAACGCACACACTCAACATAGACTAGGGAAACCCTGTGTCGCGGGCGCCACAGTGGACACACACAGAGACAGTCACAAATTACATCCAAACTCACGAGAGAAATAAATGTAGGCCATACAAATATTTCTCCCGGCCCGAGAATCGAACCTGGGACCTCTGAGTGGCAGTCTGGCGAGGTAACCGTTCGGCTACGGAGGCAGTTAAATTGTTGTTCAGCGTCGCAACGCCGACGCAACGCATCGTGTGGCATCGCTCTAACACCGCAGTTAAGTGGAAAAGGATTCTTGTTTCCGCTCTTCAACCCTTATTTACAACGGTTTTTCAATTAAAGTCTGATCCAATCTATTTTGAACAAAAACTAAACAAACCTGTTTGGTGAAAATTCTAAAGCAATCACTCAATGAATCGAATAAGTAACACTGGCACGTATATTTCGAAGATTTCGATTTGATATATCATCACTTCAAGAATATTCATTTGAATAGCATCGCAAAATCGTATTTGAAAGATGGTAGTCCAAAAGTGACGTTATTATTCTTTTTTTTTTAATTTATTAAGGCTTTGGCAAAGCCATCAGCCTAAACATGAAGTTTAAATATGTTTCTGTAAATATGGCTGCCACAAAGAGGATAGGCAATTTGAGGCGGCGTGCTTGGATTGACTCGGGATTCCTTAAAACGGGCCGATACGGGTATTTTATTTCGAGATTCGTATAATTTCGCGTTTTAATCTTCGATTAAGGCACAATAGCACTATCCTATTCCACTTTAAACTAGATTTCACAAAATAATTGAAAGTCAAAATAAAAACGACACTTTTCCCTCCAAAAGGTCCAGAGCGAATCCGTTATTATTCATCTATACTTCTATGACTTGCCTATGGTTGCATAGTGCTGTTCGAAAAAAAAACATTCGGTTTAATCAATTAAAGTTTAGTAATCGATTATTAAATCGAACATTTCAATCGCAATCGAACGAGTGTAATCTAAGTGTAAGGATTTGAAGGATTTCAATTGAAATTTTAATTATGCTTATACAGGGTGACTGGTTGAACGAAATAAATATTTAAAGTGGCGAATGAGTAGCTGATACCCACCCCGAATATGTAAAAATATCGCCCCAAAACATTATAAAAAAAATATATCGTACCATTTTACAAATACTAAGACTCTGTTCGTTTGAGCTACTCTACGAACAGCTGATTGTTAGGAAAATGAACCGCCCGTCGCCGCGCCGCGCCCCGCGCTACGAGCGCGTGTCAAGCCTCTCTCGCTTAAAATGTTTTAAAAATAATTCCATTTTCCCTTCATACTTTGATTTTGGCTTAGGACAGGCAAAAATACCAATTAAACTACGATAAATTAATTTTTAAAGTACACAATATTTTAGGCAGTTGTAAAACACAAACTAAGCTAGTAGGTATGAGCATGGTTTGGTACTTTTGGCGTATTTAAAAAATGGAATCATACCTATTTACAATAATTAATTTTGATTAAATTTACAAATTTACGGCAATCTTAACAATGTACGGGTGAAGACCGTCTCTGTGTAAGAGTTTGTCCATTGTGACACTCCGAATCGGCTTGCTGCATTTCGAGTACTCCGGCGTGGGTCATGCTCAAAGTATTCAAAAATCGCTTCTATCAAGTCCACTGGATACGGATCCCTTCCTCGCCCTTGAGCATGCGAGGGCACAGTGAACTGCCCAAAAGTCCTCAAACGAAAATTGAGTCCTAACATTAAAGTGTAGGATGGAACTCGCCGATTAGGGAACATTTCACGGTACAGGTCCCTAGCACCACTAACTACATCATTTGCCATAACATAACACCGTATCATGTCCCAATACTCCTCATTTGTGTAGTGATAAGGCATCGTTATGTGTCACTGCACTCCACGGAATTACACAGTTGAATAGACCGATGTATCACGGAAAACAAAGATCGGCGCGGCGGCGGCGGCGCGTGCGTTTAATCGCAAAATCACAACGTCCTGACTTACAGAAGGGCGTAAGCGAACTAACCCGGCGGACGGCGGGACGCGCGGGCGGGATTGGGGTAGCCGGCGCAAGCGGCCTTCAACGAGTAGTGGCGGGGGTGTCTAATGCACATGCGCAGAAGATTTTGTTTTGACGAACGTGGTGTCACGCGCAGAGTAATACAAAATGTTAGAGCCAGTATTTTCTTTAAATAAAAATGTTTAATATTTTTTTTTTACATAGTCGTGTTATTTTTACATATTCGGGATGGGTATCAGCTACTCATTCATCTCTTTAAATATTTATTTCGTTCAACCAGTCACCCTGTATAGGTTATTATAACCGCTAGTATGACTCAATTGAACAAATCGATTCATTCGATTAATTAATCGATTTGTAGTTGGCGTTACAATTGGCCACCACTAAACCGTCTATGGTCGGGTCAATGACTTGTTTGTTTACTTTGTGTACAAAATGGATCGAAACGAGTATATTACAAAATCATTTTTACTTACCCGAACAAAGCACACCTTGCACGAAGAACAGCGCTGTCCTATAAGCATCCGCCAAGTACTTGGTGTCTTCTAGAACATTCGTTCTGTGTTTACAAAGGCTTATACAGCCCGCGTCAAGCATTTCTGGAAAATAATTAATTATGTACCCTTTTTTATTTCATTGCGATGTAAAGAGGAAGTACATAGTGGTATTATTATTACGATTATCTGTTTTGGACTTTCGTCTGTCCCGTGGCCTTAGTTATATTTTCGATTTTTAATTAATTGTAATAATAACGCACACACTCAATATAGCCCCGAACTAGGGAAACCCTGTGGCGCGAGTGCCATGGACACACACATAGACAATCACAAATTACACCCAAACTCGAATCGAACCTAGGACCTCAGCGGCAATCCGGCATGGTAACCGTTCGGCCACGGAAACAGTTCAATTGGGACTCGCGATATTATATATATTGGCAACAGGGATCAGGAACTGCTTTTTTTAATACCAAGTGACGGGACCGACAAGTCGTGCGCCTGGTGGTAAGCGACACGCCTATCCATAACACTTGCAGTGCCACTCGGAGCTTTAAATCTTCAAAGATCTTAAGGGCACTGCCACTGCGCCCGTCACCCTGACACATAAGTTGACAAGTCCCATTAGGTTTCAAAACCAGAACACTGTAATGCTGATATTGCTGCTTGACGGCAGAAATAGGTAAGGTGGTAAGTATTTCTTTCAACGAACTCTTTACTGCTAAAGGGTGTCTCAGTAAGAGTACACTTTTTCATTTTAAAATAAAAAACACGTATTTTATGAGAGAGTTGTGATATTTTTATTATATTTTGAAGAAGAGATGTTCCGATTATGTATGGAATAAAATATCCGGCAAATGGGGGGCCATTTGACGGCTCTGATGACAGGCCATTAATCTTTTCATGAAATTTTCCATGACTTTTTCACAGAGATGTGGCTGTATCTCACCGATGACGCGTTGGATCTCTGATTTGAGCTCAGGATTTGTTTCTGGTTTATTCGCATAAACCCTAGATTTCACAAAACCCCAAAGAAAAAATCGCATGTCGTTAATTTTGGTGGCCAGTTGACATCAGAATTTCGTGAGATAATGTGTTCTGGAAATCGTTGTTGCAATAAGTCGGTTGTTTCATGCGCGGTGTGACAGGTGGCGCCGTCTTGCTGAAACCACATGTTGTCCAGATCCATGCCGTCCAAATGAGGCCACAAGAACTCCGTTATCATGTTCCTGTAACGAATGCCGTTCACAGTTACTGCAATTTCGTCCTCATCTTCAAAAAAGTAAGGCCCAATCACGCCGCCTGACCAAAATCCGCACCAGACAGTTGCTCGTTATGGGTGCATTTGTTTCTCATGAATTGCATGAGGATTTTCTGAGCCCCAAATTCGACAATTTTGTGTATTCACGTAGCCATTCAAATAGAAATGCGCTTCATCGGAGGAGATGACTTTTTTCGAAAAATTAGCATCGACTTCACTTTGCTCCATTGCCCATTGAACGAATTGCCGGCGCTTTCTATGGTATGCTGGTTTGAGCTCCTGAGTTAGTCCGACCGGTACATTGACGCAAAGGAGTCTTAATATCCACAATCGATCCAGTTTCTTCAAATTTTTTGACCACTCTTCGAATGGTTGACACATTAGATGCACTTTCTCGACTGAAAATTTGGCGAAGTTTGCGAGCGGTCTCAGCGTCCCCATTTTTGTAATGAGTTTTCACAATTATAACGCGTTGTTCTTTCGTGAAGCGCTCCATTTTTAATAATGGGAATAAACATAGGTGACGGCTGTCAAATTTCAGAGTTACCACTTGCACGAAAAAAAAATGATTCTAAATTTAAAAAGTGCACTCTTACTGAGACACCCTTTACTAAAGATTCAAGTACGAAAAGATACATGCCGTATGGAGTTATAGTAGCGGTCTTTGTGAAATTTAAAACAAATTAGTTACAAAAATAGCTATTTGGTACTAGTCGCGACATCTGGTGCACCAATAAGTACTAAATACCCGACTACGCTGTCTTGTATCGCGTTTTTGGTCTATGATACAACTCACCACACAAATCCAGCTGTCCAGCTCTCACTTGACACATAACCATTATAAGCAAAGCTACCACTGCGCTGCGACCCGCTCCCGATGCACAATGAATCCAGGCTCCAGTTAACTGGTTGCTTAATTTATTATTATAGGTCTGGCTGAGAATCTTATCGGCGACGAGTACGAGTGGTGAACAGACGATCCTACAGCAAAGAAGAGGATTAAAAATAAAAAACGGTACATAGCCCAAGTTTTACACAAAATGACATCGTTATATTAATAAAAATGGAAGTAAATTAATTTGCTACTCCGCGAACCCAGTGAAGGTTAAATCGTGCAAAATAGCTGCGCTTGTGTTGAATATTTTTTCATGCAGCTAATTATCCTACCCTCCCTCCGCGTAAAATAAATAACACAAGCGCAACTACAGTCACAAACCACCACCAAAAATATACCCAAAAATGGGTTTTTTCAACACAAGCGCAGCTATTTTGCACGATTTAACCTTTACTGGGTTCGCGGAGTAGCAAATCAATATACTTCCATATTTATTAACATAGACGCATGTCTAATTAATATATTCAGGTATTACTTTGCAGATGCATATCTGCAAAGTAATACCTGAATATATTAATCGTTATATTATGTCATAAATAAGTCATCATCCTATATAAGAGCCTAGCTCTTGTCGGTGTAGCCTACCCACTCCTTATGATCCCTTCTAGCTGCTTAATTTAACTTTCTTTGTTAATTCACTGTACTCCATCAATAGAGAACAGAAGGGGAAAATGTTTGAACATCTATTACGTAGTAATAAAAGAGTTGTTCCGTTAGTAGTACTAAAATGAATGGAAAATTTAACCAGGCTATCAGTTGGTTTTTTGTAAAGAGATTTCAAAATCTAAAAACAAATTTTTTTTGGCTGCAGTTTCTAGAAAATCGTTAATGGTTTTTAATACTAAATAATGTAAAGAGGAACGGTACCCCACGGAACGGAACGGATTATTATGTAATTTTGTGGCTAATTGGCTAGTGGCCAATGCCATATACAATATAATGACAGATAAGATGTCAATGTCATTCTTGTTGCAATCAAAAGAATCAATTCTAGTTACGTTTTTGAATATTTTATCGTTTAAGTGTTGCTGATTTTTGGATTTTTTTAGCAAAGCAGTGTTGCTTGTGATTAATTAAACATGTCTACCACACCTTTGTTTTAAATCAATTTTAAAAAAAGCAGGTAACAATTTTTTTCCATTATTCTGCCATGTTCTTTATTTCAAGCTTATATCTATCAATAAACTTGAGGCTAGTTAATTTTTTCTGGGAATAAAGCATACTAGTTCGGTACAAGTTTATTAAAATGCTAATTGAGGGAAAGATGGAAGAAAAAAGAAAAAGAGGAAGACCATAATTAAAAAGAGAAAAAACTTACTTGGTGGGAAAAACATTAAACTGATAATGCATAACATTGAGCACGGCTTTTCCACAGGTCACAGTGAGCTTTCTCTCCGTCCAGTGTACTGTACAAGTCACTTCTTCCAGCATTACATTGATGTTATTATCTAGTTCTAAAGTTTGACCTTTTGCGGTGGGCCAGTAAGATTTGCCCTGCATCTAAAGGAAGATAAACTCAAATCAATATAATCAAATATTTCATAAAGTCAAATTAATACGAAATACATGAAACAAATTTGTATTTTAACTGCCTCCGTGGCCGAACGGTTACCATGGTGGACTGCCACGCAGTGATCCCGGGTTCGATTCCCGCGCCTGGAGAAATATTTGTATGGTCTACATTTATTTCTCTCGTGAGTTTGGGTGTAATTTGTAGTTGTCTACTTATGTGTGTGTCCATGGCACCCGCGATACAGGGTTTCCCCAGGGGCTATAGCCTAGGTTTTAGGAGGTGAGATGAGGTGCCCCTCGCATCCTATAGGCTGAGAAAAAATGACACTGATCCGACATCAATAAGCGCCCGATGGCGACTGACGGGGCTGCGAGCGGCGCGGCGTGTCGTTAAACCGCTGGGCAATTTGCAAATTTTGGGATATATGTGAATTGAATAACAAATAGGGCTTCATTATTAATACAAAGATCGAACACTCAGAAAAAATTCTAAAGAAACGACGAATCTTTGTATTAATAATTATAACAAACTAGTGGAATAATTTCACAATAAAAATATTGAATATCAATTCAATAACAATGTATAATAGGGCTTCAGTTGAAAATCAAAATGCAGCAGGTTCGCTGAAATACTTGAAGAGTAAAAATTATGTACACAGTTAGATATTTTATTCTTAAATAATTCGTTTTCCACTTTTATTTTAACTCGTTTTCAGGATTTTATCTGATCGGATCGAAAGCCCGTGGTTTTCTGAGACCCATATAGCGTAATGGGGAATCCCAAACTATCATATTCTAATATTAAATTTTACGGTTAATGCCTCCCTTTTTTATAATATCAAGTGACGGGATGAACAAGTCGTGCGCTTGTTAAGCGACACACCTATCCATAACAGTTGTAGTGCCACTTAGAGCTTTAAATCGCAAAGACCTCTACTGCTACTCAAATGAATATATAAGTGAAAAGACATTGTTTATACAATACGCGTACCATCATTGCTAAATATCAGGTCAGATTGTGGTCAGGCGTGTGTCTATATTGAATTTTAAAAACTACTTTTGAACATTTAAAAGCGTTATTAGGATAGGAAATGAAACTACTTTTCCGGATTTAAATCGCGTAGGTATATTTGGTTTTCGCGATTGTTACACATAGGAAATGAAACTATTTTTCCGGATTTAAATCGCGTATATTTGTTTTTTCA